CTTGAATAGAGGTGCGAAATTCCTCGAGGAATGCGCGGGGAAGTGTCGATATGGCGCATACACGTTCTGTCGCACCCATTGTGCCGAGACCTTCGGCATATACAGCTTGCTTATGAAAATACTCCCCTACCTATTATTCTGATGAAAATAAAGTTGAAAGCATCGGTAAGAATGCGTTTGTACGTGTTCGCAGATATTCTTGTTCTTTATTGTTGTTGTTGTTAATTCTCACAGCAATTAATTATTCATTGTTTCGCCGTTTCTGCGTAAAAGAAACAAAAAAGCTTGTACCCTTATTGTGTGGTGCGCTACTGTGGCGAAAGTGAGGCGAAAAGTCAGTGACATCTTGTTGTATAACATACAGCATTACGATTCAATCCACTTTAATAGTTATCTGTTTGCAAATGGATTCACCGTCGTGGCTTAGCGTCAGAGGCGTTGTGTTGCGTTGAGCTGCTGGTCTGAAAGGCGCGGTGCTCATTCGCACTGGCGGCGACCGCATTTCGATGGGGGCGAAATGCAAGGACACAGGTGTTGATCGACTGGTATGTGGGCTTAACGTCCGAAAATCACGGTGTGATTATGAGAGACGCCGTATAGTGGAGAGCTCCGGAAATTTCGACCACCTGGGATTCTTTAACGAGCACCCTAATCTCAGCACGCGGGCCTTCAACATGTTCGCCTTCATCGAAAACGCAGCCGCCGCAGCCGGAGTTCGATCCCGCAACCTGAGGGTCAGCAGCCGAGTATATTTTAGCCACTGGACTACCGCGGCGGGGCAAGAAGACACTAGTATGCTTAGATTTATATCAATCTAAACTCATGTTGTACAAGAGATAAATGCCAGTCTCTCTCTTTACGGCGTGCCTCGTTGTTATGTCGTCGTTTTGGCCCAGAATTTACTTCTTTTAAATTTTGGTTTGCAAACAGACCACACCAGCGTATAGAATACGGGCATGACATGGCGTTGATAATCAGTAGTGTTTTAGCGGTGTTGAAGTTGAGGGCTCCGAATTAATTTTTTGATGACAGCTGCGTTACTGGCTGGCAGTCTGAGTCGCGATCACTTGTATGTAGCAACACCGAAGCGCCATTGCTGCAGTCACTATACTCGGATTTGCACTCGCAGCGCAACATTTTCTATGGCATATAACATTCGCACAATATTTAATAAATAATTAATTCGTACAGTACGTCCTGAAAATTTTTCAGGACTTAATTAGCGAACACGGACTTTGTATTCGTAAATGTACGTTAGCATTTTAATGTAGACGCAGCGACTGTTTCGCATGGCTTCTACTTAAGAATGCGACCGCTGCTGGGAGTCCGGCCTGCGACTTCATTCGCAGCCGCCGGATTCCGGGGTGGTGCTCATTTGCGTACGCATGATTGTTCTTAACCTCAGTGATGCTTTAGATGGTCATGTCGGGACGCACGTAGTACACACCTAAAGAACTGGCTTCTCTGCAAGAAGGGGCTTTGTAAGGAGAATCTTGCTTCTTGTTTTCTACTTTGATTTTGAATGTGGTCATGTCTGCACGCTCATAGTAGGCATCCTAAAAGCTGGATTATCTGCAAGAGCATTTGTAAGGAGAAGCTTGCTTCTTGTTTTGTGCCTTGATTTTGAATGTGGTCATGTCTGCACGCACGTAGTACACACTTTAAAAGCTAGCTTTTCTGCAAAAAGGGGCTTTGTAAGGTGAAGCTTGCTTTTTGTTTTGTGCCTCGATTTTGATAGTGGTCTTGTATGCGCGCACGTAGTACAACCTTAAAAGCTGGCTTCTCTGCAAAAAGGGGCTTTGTAAAGAGAATCTTGCTTCTTGTTTTGTGGCTTGATTTTGAATGTGGTCATGTCTGCAAGCACGTAGTAGGCATCCTAAAAGCTGGCTTTTCTGCAAGAATATTTTTAAGGAGAAGCTTGCTTCTTGTTTTGTGCCTCGATTTTGAATGAGGTTATCTCAGCGCGTCAAAGATGTGGCCTGAAAGTCAAGCTAAAAGAGATAACACTTCGTTTAACTAGATACACAAATGAATAAGTCACTGTTTTTAGTGTTAGCATTGACTTTTGTGGTATGTGAAACTGTTGGCGCTCAAATGATCGCGCATCAACGAGTTGTACCTACTTAAAAAAAAATCGAGCGCCTCCAGACGCAGTTATCACGTTGAACGCGACTTTTAAAGATAAAACTAGATTAATGAATGCTTGCCACAAAAGTTTATGCATTCGTTTTCGGTTGTTCCATCAATTATTATATATTATATCGAAAACGGCACGCACAGCGGACTGGCTGGTGACTCTCTTCGTTGTCCTCTGTGCGTGGCGTGTAATTTAACGGCGTCTGCTAGGACCTGCGTCTTTCCTAATCGGTAAGGATAAAGTACCACGTGTCTTGAGGAAGCCATGTACGTAACACACCAAGCTTCAGGAAATTTCGTTGTGGCAATGGGGCCAAAATATGAAAAAAAAAGCAGCTTTGATATCCGCGACGTGATCACCGCAGATTTCGGCGGAAAAATTGAAAGTGACATTGATTTTTGTCATCTATAAATAAACCTATACGGTTCATGGCGAAATCAACGAAACTATGGTTGTCAGGGTATCAACTATCATTCTAAACTAATTTATGATTTCACTTCAATGTCCCTTCAAATAGCTATTGACAGCTTGCACGCGATGTTAGAGACGCACAACATGGCGCCAACATAGTGGGTCAGGTGACGTCAAGGCAGCATAATCGCGTGACGATTGTCATGCTTCGCTGCTGACCCGCAGGTCGCGTGATCGAATCCCGGCTGCGGCGGCTGCATTTCCGATGGAGGCGGACATGTTGTAGGCCCGTGTCCTCAGATTTGGGCGCACGTTAAAGAACCCCAGGTGGTCGAAATTTACGGAGCCCTCCACTACGGCGTCTCTCATAATCATACGGTGGTTTCGGGACGTTAAACCCCACAAATCAATCATTGTCATGCTTCAGTGTGATGATGACGCTGTTGCTGGAACGTTATTTGGCCTCTGTACACGAATAGCAAAGGAACCTGCACGCCATGTACTGATATCAACTAAACGTGACATCACACAAATTTCGCCTCTCGCCATGTTGGTATTCCAACGTGACTGTTTCACTGGCATCGGTGCGAGTCATCTTTACCGCCTGCGATGACATTGTTTTTTCCGCTCGCCAAGCACGCGAACCATCCGTGTCACAGCGTGTGCCGACGGGTGGCCAGCGCATTTGTAGCGCGTTTGCTCGGCTCGGTGAGCTTTTCATCGAGCGAAACGAGAGTCAAGAGATTCTCTTTCACAGCGGCGCATGCCGCAGCAACGCCTGCCTCTTTTTAATTGGCCCGAGTCGCGCGTGAATGCGACGGCAATCGCCGGCATGTTAATTGCGCAGGGGTTTCCCCTGCGCAAACAACACGAACGGAACATTCGTTCGTCGGCTGCGGCTAGCGTGATGCCACGCGGTTACCAGGCCGTGCGCGTAATTGCGTGCAGCAGGCGACGAGGTGGACGAAATGAAAGGTTGATGGTCACTTGCGATTGCCTGAAAAGTTAAGTTGAACAGATACATCGGAAACGTTACGTGACGTGGAGACGGGGGCACAACCAGACTTTTTGTTTTTTCTGGGGAATCTCAACACCCAGCTCTACTACCGTGACTACACCTATGTACGGAGAAAATGCCATTATTAGCTTAGGGGTGTGCCCATCATACGCTATGTTGCTCTTTAATTGTGCAACGACGGACAGCCGTATAGTCCGAGCATGTGCAGACCACAGCCACTTGTGGACGTGCGTACACATCTGCATTAGCGAAAGCCGAGCGCATTTTGATGTGCCGTTCAGATTCCACAATTTTTGTCGAAGAGCAACAGTTATAAACCCACAACGCAAGGCACTCTTGGTGATTATAATTTACCAGCTGCGCACTAGCTTAAGTACACGAAAAAAAAGGCGGGAGGGGGGGGGGGTAGGACTTGCCAGACCAGGCACCCTCTCGGAGCCACATTGTTTGTCCCACCGCAAAGTTCGATTGCTGTCGATGGGTTTAGGAACGGGCCGCTTCGTGGGAATGTAGTTTCCTGTGGCCAAGATGCCACGAGAAAGACGATCGCGCTTAGGGCTTGTGTGGTGCTCTTGTGGCGACGTCGTAATGGTGCGCCGTAAAGCTGTGGCCCGAACTTGTGTACACATCGGGAAAGTTCCCTCCGCACGCGGGCAGTTTGTTCCTCTCCGAACTGCGTCTTCGGCTGGGCCGTTTTGCACCGCCTTCACTCCGACGGTTGGGCCTGCCTTGAGCTTGTCCAGGGACTCAGAGAGGCGCCCAGGCCTCAGCTGCGCCGCTGCTGCCTTCGAGAACCACACGCCGACAGAAGCCTGCCCGCCAGGCCTGCGCTAGCTACGAGGCGGCCTTATTTTTAGCCCTCTCCTCTTTTTTTTTCTTCTCATCTTGTCTATTCTTTGTTTTAATTGCTTCTTCGCCTACCCTCGTGTGTTTATTGCACGCAGACCTTTCTCTCTCTCTCTCTCTCTCTCTCTCTCAATCTCCCTCTCTTTCGTTCGCGAAGGTTCGGGCCGCTAAACTGCGGCCTAAGCCGCAGCTTTCTGCGGGCTCGCCTTGGCCGCAGCGCGTTCACGTCTGGGTCCAATATGGCGCCCGGAGGGGGCGTGCGCCCCGAAAATACGGTTTTCGAAGCCCCCCTTATGAGCGCTCGCTCTTTCTTCAAGCGTCCCGCGTGTGGTCGGCGGCCGACTAGGCGAAATTGAAGCCTCGGCTTTATTAATGCCGTCTGCCGCCTCTTGACGTCTTCGAGTGCCCCATGACATTGACTTCTCCGACGGAGACGCTGTGCGTGCCTGTTTGTGCGTGCGCCGTGACCTTTTTATACATATTTTAATTCGGTCTCGATCCCCTTGAGCTTGCACCGTCTCATCCTCGCCTCCTTTCCGACGTTCGACCCTCCTCTCCGCCCCGCAAACCCCGCTAGGAGCTGATAGCTCTTCGTCTTCCGCGCCCTTCCGTTGCTCGAAAGAGGACCCCAAACCCGGTGCCTGGCCGACCGCGGCTCGCACGGGCTGCGCCCTTTTGCCTCTTTTTGTTTTCGTTCTCCGTTTTTCTCGTCGTCGACCGTGTTTCACGCGACTTCCTTGGACGTGGTGCCCCTGTGACATTTTGTTGCGTCTCACTTGTTTGCTGGCTATTATTGTCTTGTCTTAACGCCGTCATATAGTGGAACGTGTTAGTGCGTGCGATTTGTGCTTGGTTTTGCCGGTGTTGTCTGTGCGAGTGCCCGTTCCCGGGTGTGCGAAGGTCTTCACGCCCCCATCTGGGTTTCTCGAGCGCGTTGATACCCCCGCCCGTTCACGGCGCCGGCATCATCCGGCCTCGGATTGCGGCGGATTCGTGTCATGGGATGCTGCGCCTCGGCTTTCCACTCGGGCTCCTATCTGACCCGGGAGGGCGGCGGTGAGTTGGCTGAGAACGGTTGCGATCCCCCCTGCTGATAGTTTTGCTTCTCTCCGTGTGTGTGCCTGCCTTCTCATACTTGTTTGCGCGATTGAAGCGCCGCGTTCTTTTTTCTTTTTTGTTTGTCTTTTCGTTGGCTGTTGTATCTATCTTAAATGCGGTGTTGATGTTGTACGATGCACTCTAGTCTGTGTTCTAGATTGTGCCTTGACTGCTAACCCAAAGGTCAAGGGAGCGAATGCCGCCCGTGGCGGCCGTGTTTCGATCGAGGTGATATGCTATAGGCCCCGTGTACGTTGATTTAGCTGAGTGTTAAAGAACACCACATAGGTGGTCGAAATTTCCAGAGTCCTCCAACTACGGCCTCCCCCGTAATCTTATCGTTGTTTTGGTGCGTAATACCCCGACGAATATCATCATTACTATCTGGAATCTTTTATTTACAATTTCTTGGACTTCAAAACCCGCAGTTGCAGTTTGTTGCTTAAGTGCCGAGATCAAAGTCGTGGGTTTGATTCCGACCACTGCGACAGTATTGCGATGGGGCAACACGTGCGCGTTACCAAACCCCGAGCTTTTATAATTGAGCCCCCCCCCCCCCCCCGTTTTTTCAATGACGCGTACCTTGCAATCTGACTTATGGTTAGTAAAACCTCAGGAACCTCTCTTTTTTTTAAACAGAGTACCACGTGTACTCGTATCATTTGTTCATTTGCCTATTTAATGCCTCAATTTTCTCGTAACGAAGACGTTATATGCCCGAAGGGCATGGTCATCAAACGTTATGCTAGTTAAATGACATTTCACTTGAGAAATTCTTCATCCATGTATTTAAGTTTCAATACATGAATATCTGGAATCAAGGTACAATATCAGCAGGCAGGTCATCCCATAGCTTCACGTCTGTTTGCAGAAAAAAAAAAGTAATTAAAATAAACATCATAGAACTATTCCGCGTGCTCAGTCAACCTTTCAGTTGGTTGAGTGCACGTAATAATTTACTGCATTTTGGCATATATGCTTATCAACTATACTGAACATTTCGTAACGTTTTTTTTAAATTTTCATTCGTTTAATTATAATTACGTACATGTAACCACCTGTAACGTCTGTAACTTTACGAAAACTGGCTTGTGTACGCGAAAAAGTTTGAATTGTCTCTCTCAGCAAATATTTCATGTGGGAAGTGATTCTGTGCAGTCGTGAAAGAACATCTGCAAAGGAGCGTAGCATTGAGCAAGCTTGCGTACAGAAAACAAGGTTTATGGGCAAAGAAAGTTTAATTGCAGCTATGTTGATGAATACGTGCTGCGTTTTGCAATGTGTTTCTTCTTGGTGTCGGCTATGTTAAGTTTGCCCCTGGGTTTTTTATGGATTTTTAATGTCGACACGGTGAATGTGAATGAATACGGGCTTAGGCGAGAAACGCAGTGGACTAGTGTGATTGTTTCGTAGCCAGTTATTTACTCGTGACAAAGAAACGAATAAAAAGATAATTCTTCAATATTGTTCTCTGGAAGCTTGTATAAAATTGTTTGACTTGCATATCGACAAAACATGACTGATCCTATGTTTGTTCCTTATGGAATACGCCATTCTTTGCATTGATCTGCGTAACATGCTTTCTAAGTATGGTGTCTTTTTAGGGGTAGGGGGGGGGGGAGTATTTTGTGTTTTATTTTATAGATATAGAATAAACGAATAATCTTGTACCGAACTAGTCATGATGGGTAAAGAACGCGAGATTTAAAATCGAGGCATAGCTCCAGATTTTTCTATCTTTACAGTGGCTTTGCGTATGTTATTGCAGCACCAGCTGTCAATAATAATACGGGCCGTATAAAATGACGTATTTGGCAAACATTTTAATTACTCGTAAGTTGCATTTAAACGTTTCAGTAGCGTTGACCGTGCGCGCAATCGGAGGTTTGGTTCGGGGGTTCAATCCCCGCCCGTTATCCCTAAAAAAAAATTGACTATGCTTTGGCGTTGACCCAACGAAAAATTGTCGAACTTAGAAAGGTTAGCGGAGCTTTTTTTTAATTTGTGTTGTGATTATAAAGAGCAGCTCTAGGATATTTTTTAATGCGACACTGCATTATAAATGCTTTATCAAGCATATATTGTGCAGTCTCCTTAAGAGAGGGGAGTGGGGGGCCGTGTGCTCAGGTTTGGGTGCACGTTAAAGAACCCCAGGTGGTCGAACTTTCCGGAGCCCTCCACTACGGCGTCTCTCAATCATATGGTGGTTTTGGGACGTGAAACCCCACATATCAATCAGGGGAGTGGGGGGGGGGGGGTGCAAAGTCAGCACCACACAATGGCATCACAGCGCCCCTCCTCCCTGACTCGGGGGGTCATGGAGGAGGGGCTCTGTGATGAAACTTCGACCCCCGTGAAAGGGAAATCTGCGTACGCCTACGATCACTATAGATCTGATGGGACGTCGCTACAACTTTCGTTGCCCTTACACCATAGTTGCCCTCCCTGTAGAGCTACGTCAGTGCTGGACGCGCTTGCGATGGACTTCGATCGGGAAAATGAGCATTAGGCACACTTTTGAAATTGAAATTTGTTCTAAACGTTTGCCGTGTCCGACCATTCGTGTGGAGTGTCCTGGCATGCAGAGGAAACCTACAAGAGGCCTGTACCGAAATTTGATGGCACCACCTTTTTAAATAATATAGAATATTGTATACGTCCGTATTTTAGAAGAAACAAACAAAAAGAAACGGGACTGTCGAACTGTGCATGGTTATGTTGGGAGTGGTATTTTGTAGAGATATGTTCAGTAACATTGTTCCATGCACGTTATACGTTGCAGTAAATTTCGTTGGAGCAGCTATAAGGTTGAAGGGAGAGCTCAAACCTTCCACAAAATTGTCTTGCTTGTTTATATTCACATGCGCAAAAAAAAAAAAACGCACACAAACCCACATAAAGGTTGAGTGAGAATCCACCCCGCACCCCTCCTCCCGGACGAAAAAATTCTCGCGCCCCTGGCGCATTGAACCATGTTTATTACGTAATACTGCTTGGTTGTATATTGGAGGTGATACTTATTGATTTGAGGGGGGGGGGGGGGGGGGAGGCCGTTTTCGTATATAGTATCACATTGTTGAGATTGAAACATAAATATCGCTGCCCTCACGGAGCATAACGCTGTGCACCGAAGCGTCAGTGATCGTTCTTTCCTGCGGCTTCAAGCTCATCCCTATTGAAACGTTCCGTATGCGATGTCCAATAATTCCGTATAATTCCGTAAGAATCTTACGGAAGTATATGAAAAATATGTAGGAAACATATGTATTCTTACGGAAACATACGGAATTATTGGACGTCGCATACGGAACGTTTCAATAGGGATTCGCTTGATCTGGATGCGAGCCATCGTGCGATTTGTTTTCTTGCGACCTCATTTGCGCGCCACTTTAGCCGGTTATTTGCCGCCATGGGTGATACATTATTAGCCCCCAAGGGGCGCTCCACGTTTCGTCTTCACTGGCGAATTCTCGAAGGCATGGCGAGGCAGAATACTGTGAAGGCTTTGTCTGTGTGCTTCTTGTCGTTTCACGTGAGCACCGCGCCACGATGGCCCAATTAAGTAGGTTATGTTGCCAACAGTGCAATGCCAACATATCGCCACTGCAGGCCGATATGTTGTCCCGTACAGGAAGGGAGATACAATGACAAAAGTATTCGCCAGAGACTGACAATGCAAGAAAAAAGATGAACTGTACATAAAAAGGATGCAACCTATACTGTAAGCCATCAAAGAACGACATGCTTGCTTTACGCAACAATTGACACTGGTGAAAAACTACACGAAAAAAAAAAAGCTCTTCAGACAATATCAGGGCACTGCACACAGCATGGGATCCATGACAGAATTGTAAGAAAAGCTTGAAACACTGCTCAAATTCATACTGCATTTCGGTAAAAAAAAAAGTTTTTTTTTTTCAATTCTTTTGTATCGTGGTTCTGCGACGTAAAACCATACAATTGTCGTTTCACATCATCCTATAATAGCCTGTAGACCTGTCTTTTTTTTTAGGAATCAGCTAAATACGAAACTTTCGTACGAATATACATTTTTTTCTGGCACGAAGCCTGACTTTGTGTGCACCCGCTCTTAGAGAGCATTAAGCATAATAACCCTGATACTAGTTAAGATCTATCGGCGCGGCCAGCACAGAAACTGCGGGTATTATGTCACACCTGTTGGCGACAGGGAGCTGCAGTGGCAGGCATGCGTCAAGGACAGGTTAGGCGTTGCTGTGGCCGTTCGTTCCAATGGACCCCGAAGCCCCTTACCAAAATCGGCCGCCTCCTACTAGCGATGAATATTCTAGTTCATATAGACGACACCGTTAACGTTGCGTGAAATCATGTGTTCCTAACTGTTTTTTTTTTGGGCTTTTCGGCGTAGCTCGTCAAGAGAGATGGAAATCTAACCCTTTCAATCTCGTCTGACGAGCCATGCTTTTGAGCGGTGCAAGTAGTAAAGACAATAAAAAAAAACTGGGAAACGAGGAAGTGAACGCAAGGTAACTCTCTGCTTGTCAAAAACAGTGTATCGATAGTAGCGCAAAACAGAAGCAACTAAGAGGTCCACAAACAGATTCGACGATGGGCTTGACGTGTTTCTCCGTATTACTGTGTTCAGCTTGTGCTTTTCCTTGCTGTGGGAAAATCGTTCACGGAATAATTTGACTCATGTCCTTGTAACAAATGCTCAGTTTTTTTTCTATACACGCCGCAGATTACCTGCAAAAGGCATGTATCTTTAATCAATGAGTCTTTGTGAAAAGAGGACGTAAGCCTGTATACGTGTAGCGGTCGAAATATACGTGTGAACTTTTGTACCGGCAAGTCGGTGTTACACTTGAAGGAGAATATGAAAGTTTGGAGGCCTTGAAAATGATTGGTTGTACATGTGAATTAAGAAACTGAGAGTAAATGGTATCCCCACACCCACTCACTCTTGTGTCTCAGTGTTATGTCATACTGTGGCGCCAAGGCCACGGGTTTGACTCCCGACGGGTTCGGAACGCCATAACTTTAGCGTGCTCATATTTATGTTCTCGATAACGAACCACAAGTGGTTTGAATCACATTCGCAGCGCAGTTAGAATTGAGTTTGTCGTGTCTCTCATCCCCCGTGCGTTTCTTTGATAGTAGACTGGTGATTTGATTTTGACATTAAATGTTACGCAATAGCGACCAGAAAGTGTGTAAAGAGAACCAGACGCAGCAGACGGGAGGCACCGCAATGGTGCTTTGGCTGCTTAATTTTTTTTCCTTTCAAAATGGCTTCACTGCAGCACTTTGAGTGGCTGCTTCACGGTAGTGCGTGTGTTCTTGCAGTGAAGCCTCCTTCGAAGGTAAAACTTGTCCAGAGTTTTGATGTTCTTGAATTTTTTTTCACTCATTGAACTTGTAGCTTTATTCAACGCATACCTTTGCTAAAACGTGGTTTAACCATTTTATCGAGCGAAATTAAATATAACAGTGATTTTACTGTTCGTCTAACACATCTTTGTACCGCTGCCGCAGGTGCGCAGAATGCCCCCGCCGACGCCGAAGGAGCTGCCGCGGAAGCAGGCCGTAAAGGAGCAGCGTCCCCTACGGTGAGCAACACACGCATCCGCTCTGAGGCATGATCTCCGAGATTAGCTCCGACTGAGAAACGGTGCGTTATTGCGGAGGCCACGCTTGAAGACGACATGCGGCGGGTAGTGGTAGTGCTAGCATATGCGAGGTCGTTGCGCGCAAGGTTCTGAAGCCGCCATAAGAGTAATGAGAGATGATGACAATGGCCGCGCATTCGCCTTTCGGAAAACGCTGTTTGAACAGGGCAACCATTTGAGCCAGTTTGTACAGATACATTATCGTAGCCATAATTATAATCGTCATCGGCCTGACTACCCCCACTGTGGGGCAAAGGCTTCGCCTATGTTTCGCCAATCAACACGGTCATATGCTTGCTGCGGCCAAGCTGCTGTCCCCCGCAGACTTCGTTATCTCGTCTGCCCACCTGATTTTCCGCCTTCCCCTCGTGTGCGTGTTTTCTTTGAACTCGGTTACTCTTAATGATCAGCGGTTATCTTGCCCACGCACTACACACCCTGCGTGCCCATTCGCGATTTCGATTAAGATGTCGTTACCGACAGTATGTTCCCTGACCCTCTCTGCTCTCTTCATGTCCCTTAAGGTTATGCCTACCATTCTTACAATTTCTTGCGTCGTCGTTCTCATCTCAGTTGAACCCTCTCCGTAAGCCTGCAGGCTTCTGCTCCGTAGTTAAGTACCGGTAAGATGCAACTGTTATATACAATTGTCTGTTGGTACGCTACCATTCATGTTCTGAGAATGTCTGCCAAACGCGCTCCACCTCGTATGGATGTGTGATGGAAATAAGTAGCACAGCTTTTACGGAGGCACGAGAAATTGGTATACTGGGTGTCATCTTAGCTTTGCTACCCGCATAAGAGCTATGCTTTTTTTTAAATTTCAATAAATCGCATAGACTGTACCGTACAGTTACCGTCTAACATTATCCGTACACGGGAAAAAGGGCCAGAAGAAATACTGACAGACCGTATAGATTGTTCATTTGTAAGCAAAAATTTCACTATTCTGACAACGTGTTCGCTCAGAAACCATTGTCAGAATATCATAATATCTAAAAATAACGGATGTCAGGGTATATGTCAGGGTCATCAATCAATCACCTGACAGCAGCGATAAACATGCACGGCCTGAGGAGATAGTGTGTGTGTGAAGCACAGTGCTTACCAATTTTCCCGCTTTCTCTTTGTACTTCAGTTCAGCCCATGGTGCAGCCGAGTTCCACTACACAAATCGCATGCCGTGTTGGGCAGCGTTGTGCACAAACTCTAGAGCAGCTTTGAAGTGTACAGTTGTCCACGGCTTGTACAGCCGCCCAAATCTTTAACAGGCGTGCGCGAGCGGCGACTTCCTATGCATAAGCGCCGGAGCCAAGTTCCACATAAAGGCCTGACTACATGCACGCGTTGCAGCGTGCCCAACCATGACGTGTAGACTTGCCGTCGTGCCCTCCGCCCATATGAAGGGAGAGGGTAGACGGCTACACGAAGTTGCTCGCCCTTTCTCACTTTTGGGAAGGGGCGTAGCGCCGCGTCTGCGAACCACGCGCGAAAGCGCTGTAACGCGCACGTGTGGTACGGCCTTTATGGTGAGTGTAAGCGCATGCACACAAAGTGCCCTCATCTGGGCCCATTGTCTGTCACCTCATAGTGCCGCACCGCAAACGAATTACGTTTTATCCTTATCTCTCGCTCACCCAAATGTAACTTCAAAAAAAGAACAAAACCATTCGCCTAATCATGGTGCGTATAAGTCTAAAATGCGCTGACATTAGGTGATGTCTTCTAAAAAAGAAACAGCCTACCAGACGACGGGATGCCCCGCCGTGGTGGTCTAGTGGCTAAGGTACTCGGCTGCGGACCCGCAGGTCGCGGGATCGAATCCCGGCTGCGGCGGCTGCATTTCCGATGGAGGCGGAAATGTTGTAGGCTCGTGTGCTCAGATTTGGGTGCACGTTAAAGAACCCCAGGTTGTCGAAATTTCCGGAGCCCTCCACTACGGCGTCTCTCATAATCAGGTGGTTTTGGGACCCCACACGTCAGTCATTCAGACGACGGGTCCATATGAGTGTGTTTTGTGGGCACGCGCTTACCCTCGCCCTGTTTTTGACTAGCCACCGTCGTATGACGCTGGCGCTCAGAAAAGTCGATGGCCGCGCACGCAAGTAAATACTTGGCTGGCTGTACATCTCGCGCCGTTTTGTAGGTTATATTCCTGCATTGACATCGCGTGACTTGTCCTCCCTTAGAGCGTCTGTTTGGTATGCTCCAGTATCGTTCGCTGCAGCCACTGCAATATGCGTTTGAAAGTCCAGCCTCTACACGCCGTCTTGGCTTTCAATGGCTGTGACGTTGCCAAACAATGCGCGAGGTTGTAGGGTCGATTCCCAGCTACAGCAACCGCTCTTAGCAACTGCTTTATCCAAGACCAGCCATTTTCCTAAATTTACGCACACGGTAAAGATCGAGGTGGTCAGAATGGTTCTACAAGATCTGCCTCATACGAATATGTTGGTTATATCCTGCAAAACTCCAGAATTAAAAAAAAAATTGCATCTGCTGCTTCTAGAAAAACGTGTCTGTGCTTAAGATTAATTCGAATTCACGTCATCGAATGAACGGAATTATTATAGGAAGCTATACCTTGAAAGCCAAATCGAATGTCAGATGATACCTAACGCTTTGAACAAAGCGAAGTAAAAAAGAAGTCACAGCTTTGGCGCAAAGGCGAAGTATTCAACGCGATAGCAACGAATTGGATGGTCACGCGCAGAATGGCAAGTAGATCGAAACGTGCCCCGTGTTTCTCACGCACAAATTACGCACGAAACGTACTCACAGGTACAGATGAAAGCGAATAAGCGTCTCAGTTGTTACTTCGCTGTGTCTGAAAAGAGTGCCCTTTTCGCAAACGAAGGCTGTGCAACGATTGCAGTGACTTTTGTGCGCCCCGTAACTACAACAGAATCGTTACAGTGCCCCAACATCAGCCAACCCACCGGGAGATAAGGGCACGCGAGAGATGGCCCACTTTCCTCCTCCCGTGGGCCAAATTACGTGTGAGAGATGAGAGCCGCCGCGCGCTTATTGCGCCATCTTGCTCATAATGCTGAAAACAGGATAGTCCCCCCCCCCCCCCCCACGATGCCCGCCAACAGTGGTAAGTGGTAGATATAAATAGCTTGCCGTTTGAGCGTTGAAGGAGGTGCCTCTCGGTGGCTGAGTGGTTAACGCCTCACATTTACGACGTGGAGGTCCCACGTTTGATTCCGCGCGCCGGAGTCTGAATTTTTTTTCCTTGCGTTTTCGTATATATTAATATGCATACATATACGGTGCATGACATCGACGCTGACGCCGGCGGCAAAATCCAGCCGAGAGTGTCCATATAATTGCTTTCACAATAAAAGTGTCTGTGTGGTACGTTTGCTCAAAAGTGACGCTTGCTTACACGACTGCACATGAATGCGAAATAAATAGGGTCCCCTCACAAATGGGAAGCTCGTGAGTGAAAAGCGACGGCTGTCTGTCATCAAGCGTCTGGGTGTATAATTAATTGAATGAGGTCGTCTTCATTCGGTAGCCCCATAATGTGTCGCGCAAATGAATGCATTATTTATCATATACCAGTGGTGTATTTGTACCAATATTACGTTACGCACACTAAAAAACAAAGAAGTCGTCTAATAAGCCTTGCCTTCCTGGTCCTTGCAGGCTGCTAAGGAAGAAGCGAACATCACTCGAAGCATGAAGCAGGTGCCCACGGTAAAGAAGCAGAGCGTGGTGCTGCAACGAGTGAGAACGCCAAGAATGCGGACCAGGACAACTCGAAGAAGCCCCTGGAACACGCCAAGGAGGACGCTATGAGCGCGCTGGAATCCGCGAAGAAGCACGTCGGAGCCGCCAAGGAGAAGTTCCTCGAGAAGACTGAGGAGGGCGGTAAAGAAGCCGCCGAGGAGTTCAAGCAGATGGCGCACGAGGCTAAAGAAGCCGCCAAGCATGCAGCCGAGGAGGTGGTGTCGTCGCACACTCATAAGGGGGCACAAGTCGGCGGAATCGGTGAAGAAAGACGAGGAGGGCGCGCACAAGTCGAAATCCGAAGCGCACTCGGGTGCTCCAGAAGTCTCACGAGGACGAACACTCGGAGCACGCAAAGAAGGCTTCTCACGAGGAACCGGGAACGGAGAAGGCCAATGAAAAAGCGCGGGAAGCTGCCGAAGTGCTGAAGGAGAAGTCCGAACATGCAGGCCGAGCTCATCAAGGAAACCGCCAAGGAAGTGCACGAAAAGGGCAAGGAGAAAATTGAACCGCTTCGGCCCCACGGCAAGCACGGCGAATCGAGCGAGGAGAAAAAATCGGCCGAAGGCGTCGCCTCGGGACACGCCCCCTCCGAATCTGCGAGTAAGCACTCGAAACACTCGCATCACGAAGAGCCGAAGCGATCCGAAGCGAAGCCGCACGACGCCGGCAAGGAACACGCGGTGTTCACTGCCGTGCTCGACGTCAACGCGGCCGCCGCCGGCGAGAGCGTGCTCGCGGCTAAAACGGTCGCCATGAAGATCGACACCAAGGAGGGAGACGCCATGTGCGAGCTGAACTTCAACGAGTCCGCCAAGGACGGTCCACAGGAGACGACCGAGACGTCGCCGAAGGCGGTGTCTCAGGAAGCGCTCAACTCGGCCAAGACAGAAGCCGAGCTCCTGGTCGAGCGGGTGATATCGTCCGTCGTTGGAGCCTCCGAATCGTTGGAGCATTCCCCGGATGACTCCGCCCACTCCGAGAAGGACCGACTGCAAAAGCTCAAGGAGATGGCGCAGCAAGAGTTTGCCTTGTGCCAGGAGAAGGCCCATCATCTGCTGAGCGACGTCAGCTCCGCCGTCTCGACTGCAGCTACTACCGTCGCGACCAAGTCGGCGGAAATATACGACGCCACCAAGAGCAAGGCCCATGACTTGTCCGAACAGGTCACGGCGAAGGCGTCTGACACGGCTGAATCTCTGAAGCACGGCATGCACACGCTACAAGAGCAGGCCATGGAACTTCCGCAGCTGATTACGCACAAGTCGCACGTCCCGTCCGGCGGTGAGACCACCACTACTGGTGACGACAGCAGTGTCCCCGAGGTTCCCCGCGAACAGGTGCCGCTGCTCCAAGTAGACGCCCAGCGAGAGACGCCCGGAGATAGGTTAAGTCCGAGCCCGAAGCCGGAAGACATCGAGTCGGCCGTCGTCAAAATTCAAGCTGGCGTGCGGGGTTACCTCACCAGAAAGAATCTGCTGTCTCGGACGCAACATGATGGTAAGCCCCCGGGGTTCTCTTAAATACTTGTGCTGTGCTAAAAATGACTGACGTGTAATTAGACGGCGTTGGCAACCAGCGTGGATAGGGTAGTGAGGTTTGCTGCAAAAAAAAAATTGCCCGCAGCTTCCCTCGGGGGAACACTGAGGAGGATGCGGAGCATATAATTGGTTAACGGGGTGTTAAAGTGCGACTGACTTGGGTCGATGGCTAAATTGGTTAACGTGGTTGTGAAATGGGGTGTTAAATTGCGACTTACTTGGGTCGCTGGCTAAATTGGTTAACGTGGTTGTAGGAGGGGTGTTAAATGAGTGAACACGTACGACACGTATGCGAAAGGGCGGTGTTTATTTATTGCGACGAACTTTGAGCACGATGGCTTTTTGGTCGGTAAAGTGAAGAGAGAGTGGATCGGGTTGCAGCGGTCGTAGGTCGAAATTTGCAAAGACGTGGTCGATGCAGGTTCCGCGAATGGTGGTCGGCTGGTGGTGTTTGCAGTCGTCGTGCGTTGCGCGTTTCAGCGAGTGTCGCGACGCCATGTATTCGACTATCCAATGCGGTTCCGCCAACACTTTGGCCGGCGCTGGTCGAAGGGACGTCGATCATTGCGACCTCGGACGTCGACGCGCCGTACAAACCAACCGACGAGCGGCAACTGAGCGAGCGAGCACCGACCTTGAGTATATATACAGCGCGACGGTGCATGCACTGTCAGCTGTCGAACGTTCGAGAAGGGGAGAAGCGCAACGGCGCATGCGCGCGCGTCAGCTGCCGATGTTCTCGAAGCGCGACGGCGCATGCGCGCGCGTCAGCTGCCGATGTTCTCGAAGCGTGACGGCGCATGCGCGCTACATTATACAGCTAGCGAATGTTCGTGAAGAGGAGAAGCGCACGCGGTGTGTAGAGGAGGAAGGGTGCACAGATGGTGGAGGAGTGAAGCGCGCGCGGTGTGTAGAGGAGGAAGGGATGCACAGATGGTGGAAGAAGGAGGAGGAAGCTTGCGGACGGCGCCGCACTACAAGCCTCGAGTATAAGATGCTCCGCATCTAAAAGAGAAGTTCTGTAGCATATGCTTCACATCCGTAGCATACACAGGCAAAAGCTTGCTGCACGCTTGGTAATGCGTTGATTTATACAGTCGGTGGTACTCGACCTTTTGCAAGCCTTACTGAACCGCAGTGTGAACGACACACATTATGTTGCCTTAGCATTATCAGTCTGCTGCATTCAGTCTGAAATTCAGAAAAAAAAATAATTTTCCGGAGCGCGTGACTTGGGGATACGAACCTGCGACCCGCACTCCACCGCGCACGGCGTTGGACAACTCGGCCACGGAGCGTATGTCCTTCATCACACTAACGGCGAACTATTTATATACAGGATTTTTCTCTGGTGGTACGCAGAGCTCGGAGGTGCGTGTTCTCATCAGCAACAGCGAAATGGCGCGAACGGCGCGCTTTAAGGGTCGTCGCCCCACTCATTGCGATGCACACAATCCTCCTAGCTCTGGCACCTGTACTTTGCCTTACAGGGTGGGGTTGCCTGTGCGCGCGCGTTCTTGCTTCGTGATGGTGGTAGTTCGTACGCCTTTTTACGTATACCGCAAAGTTTGCATTGAAGTTACAGAATACGTTGAAATTAGTCCTTCGTGTACCTGTGTGTTTGTTTTGAGCTGCTCTGAATCGTGCTCTGAAATAAAAACGTGTATATGTTCACACATCACGTAATTTTATTGTGCTATTGAGGCTTCTTGGAAACTGGTTGAACGGCAGTTTCTTTCAATATTGTTCACAGAACTTAATGTATTGAGCACAGCTACCACTACAGAAAAACAGGATGTTAAATGTTCTGTGCAGTACGAGTAATGACCATATAGGAGATCAAAATATGCATGCTGTAAAGTTAAATATCAAGAGAAGAGAGGACATTTGTTGCTGTCTGCGTACGTGTGTGCGTGTATGTGTCTGTGCGTGTGTCCGGTGTAAGCGTGCGCAGGTTCTCGGGGGGGGGGGGGGGGGGTAAAGTTCCACCGCAATGCCCTTCGCCTGCAAAAAAAAAAATTGCACGAGTCCTAAATTAGCCAAGCTTTGCGAGTGTGAATGAAAACATTAAAATCGAACGAGCTGCCTTAAGTTCCCTGCTTTCCGAGAATAAAGGCGAGAAATGCGGTTTTTGCCCCGCAGCGGTGGTCTGGTGGCTAAGGTACTCGGCTGCTGACCCGCAGGTCGTGGGATCGAATCCCGGATGCGGCGGCTGCATTTCCGATGGAGGCGGAAATGTTGTAGGCCCGTGTGCACAGACTTGGGTGCACGTTAAAGAACCCCAGGTGGTCTCAATTTCCGGAGCCCTCCACTACGGCGTCTCTCATAATCATATGGTGGTTTTGGGACGTTAAACTCCACATATAAATATATCAAATGCGGTTTTCTCATTTTAACTTAAGGGATCATTCGCCGCCATTATAGGCAAGAAACATGCATATCGGTAACGATGAACATGAGAAAAGGTAAGGGTCCCCGCCTTGGATGATTAGAGCGGCGCCTATCCTCCCCTCTCCTTTTATGCGCAAGCCTGTGCTGCCCAGCGGCCTAAGGTTGCCACCTTTTCTCAAAAAAAAAAAACGGCCCTTGGACGGAGGGGGTTCGAGCTACTAGAATATTAAATTAGTGTTGAAGAAGACGTCAAGTCAGGTCTTTGGCATGCAGTTCCATTTATTGCAACATTACTTTTCTTGACTCAAATAAACCCGATTTACAAACAGAAACGGCAGTCTGAGTGTACAAACTAGTCTAATTGCTGCAGCATGAACATACCCGTGATTATAATGACGTGGCGTTTACTGCTCTGAAAACGTGTCTGATTCCTTCTCCTATAGAAAGCGGCATAACGCGATAGTGAAACGTGTCTTCACCGAGGTAATTAAACGTTTATTGTGCAGTGTTTCGCCACAGTGACAAAGGAGTGAATGTTACAGCAACATATTGCCAAGTCACGTGGAGAACGACAACCAGCTCGAAACTTGCAGCGTGCACATCAAACAGAAAACACGCATGAGATGAGTATACACACGACGTGAAAAGGCTCACCACTGTCGCAGCTAAACATTTAAAGCGTGCTTATTCAAACAAACAAAAACGCGCACTAAACGAACGCACAAGTAGCGTGCTCTTTCTGTGAACGCGGCCGCGGCAGCGAGCGAAGTGACCTTCGTGCTCGCCCAAATCACGAGTTTGATTAACGCTCGCGCGCGGGAGCGACCACGCTCCGTGGAGGCGGCGCAGATAGAAACGCTAGGGGTGACGACCTTGAGAGCGCGCTCAACGCGAGTTCTTAGCGCCATCTTGCTACTGATCACAGTGCGGAGCTCTGGGGATTTCCAAACAGTATGTGGTGTATATAAATAGCTTACCGTTAGCCCTCGTGACCACGTATGCTTCGTGGCCTAGAGGTCAACGCCGCGCGCTGCAGATTGATGTCTCGATTGTTCGACGCCCCGCAACAAAACCATTTATTTGCGTTTTTCTTTCTTTGCAGTCTTTCAGTACATATTTTAAAACGTCATATCCGTGACGAAAGTACGTCAACGGAGCTGTGGTGGACCTCGGCATAAAACACTTTCGTGTTTAAAAAAAATGGCCAATGACGGCGGGGGTCGACCGGAAACCGGCCCGCTGTCTAAATGACCGGCCGAGTAAAATCGGACAGGTGGCAACACCACCGAGTGGCCTGTAGCCTAAACGCCTTCCTCTCCCTCCCCCCATCTCTCTAATTATTTACGCCACTGGATCGTTTAGTCAACTGTCCTCGCAAGATATTCACCTATCACTGTGCCGCACTTTCTTTTCGCAGGCGAGGCTTCGCAGGCGACGGGCAATGCCAACCAGGAGGAGCTGTCGGCGGCGGTGGCGTCTAACGGTGCTAGCGAGCCGTCAGACACGGAAGCGGCGGCGACCAAAATTCAGGCTGCCTTTCGGGGCTACATGGTTCGCAAGGAGCTCAAACCTGACAACGGACCCGGAAGCGGCGCAAGTGGACACAAGGAGGAACTCGTCGAGTCTCGCTAGTTCCCCCTATCAGAGCGGCGCTGGCAGCTGATCGCCATGCGCGGGCAGCTCAAAATTTCCCCCAATCGCGATCGAAAGAGCCCGAAAGAAGTGCCTTCTGTAAACACTTGTGTTCCTTTCTCTGTTGTTTTGAGAACGCATGGAAGAAAAAGAAAAAAAAATGAAATGTTGTGAGAGTTCATATATTATATTGACGGTGTGCTTGTGTTTGAAATGTACAGAGTTTAACGAAGGGGAGTTCGGACTCTTTTTGACCAGGCGTTCTTGCTGTTCTCTTCGCGGGCGCACAGACCGTTTTAGTTCGCGCTCGTGGGGGCTTTGATATGTTGGAGTTACCTCACGCCTAATTATTTGGAATATTTTGTACAACCGCTTCGCTGTTTTGGCGAAGTGTCTGTAACGTACCTTGTATTCGGCAGAGACCCTTCGTATCAACAGCACATGACGACACGCTGCACCTTGTAACTGAAGTGGTCTATATGCAGTGATACCTGCGTCCGCCACGGCTTCGAAGTCGCCATTGTTCTTTTTATACATGTATACTAGCTGCCGCTGTTTCTTTTATTAAGTTATCACGAGCATTTATAAGGTATAATTTATCGGCAGCCGGAACAGGGACAGCTTGAAGCTTTAACCGAAAAAAAGAAAGGCATGCAATGCCTGTAGTTTTTATTTATACAAGTGTCCGTGTGGATGTATGCCTTTTACACATGAGCACCGCAACTGGTGTAGCGTGTGCATCGCGTGTAGCCGTGACATCGCGCTGTTTTCAGCACCAGAGAAAGTTTTCGTGTCTGTGTGTGCCTTACATTGCCACCTGTTACGAAGAACACGCGAGTGTGAGAGCGAGTAAAAGTTTTACCGTGACACTTTGTTTTCGTCACTTATTTCGCAATAAATGCTGGAAGAGCAATTAACATGGGCCACGACTGCTTTCTCGCGGAACTCCTGCCGTGAACGCAAAAAATTAAAATGTTTAGAGTCATCAAGGAAGTGCTTTCTAGCCACAAAAATTTATTCATAGTCAAACTATTGATAAATCGGTCTCTCCAACCTGGGGCGTAGCCAGGAAGAGAGGTTGGGTGCTTAACCCCCGCCATTTACTCGGCTTTTTCTTTCTTTTTAATCGTCGCTTCGTGCTGGCATGACTCGAGACGCCAAGCGGCACTGTTACAATTTCGTGTCTGGGTGCTTATGTTTGAGTTTGTACTTTACAGTGACTCATGTCTGCATGCGGAAAAACTTCTCGCTATGTTTGTCAAGGTTTTGAAACTATAAGGTTACGGGCGAGAATCTCGGCCGCCACCGTTTTCAGTTAGCTCGGTTACTGGGAATAAGGCGGAGTCATGTTTGTACCGGTGGGCACAAATATGACCACCGCTAAGCAGAGGGTCGTTTTAATGAAATTTCTATAGAACCTTTGCACGTTCTACTAAAAGCTGAACACACACGCATAGAATTTTTAAGCGTTGCATTTCTTTGCATACTGCAAGCTTTTTAAGCGTTTATATGTTCATTCTTATGTCTGCGTGCTCTTGTGATCACCCCTTAACTTAGGGTAAACCACAATTAGGAAGGGTAAGATGGTTTGACGAATGTGGCTCTCTAGGTATGGCATTAATGATATGACAATCCTGTCGAGAACATCGTCAAACCCTTCCCATGAGACTAGTGTGGCCATAATAGACATTGGTAATATTAACGCGAGAACGTCAAGAAAGTACCGACACTAGCAGCGTTCACCTGACGACTGCAAAATAAAATGTCAGGGCCCCAGCAGGAATCGAATCCAAGCATTTAATGAGGCAATCAGGTATTCTACCACAGAGCCACGACAGGTCTTGGAACTGCTTTTTGAATAGACCCTATATGTTCGCAATGGGTCGCTGTGCTGGATATTTCATTTTATAACCTTTTATAAACATTATATATATATATATATATATATATATATATATATATATATATATATATATATATATATATATATATATATATATATATATATATATATATATAGTGGCCGTAGCGTTGCATATAGTCCAGTAGATCCTCCGTGAGCGGTCACAACGTGGTTTATTTCGACGTTTCGGCCTAGAGTCTGGCCTTCATCAGGATCAAGGCCAGACCTGATGAAGGCCAGACTCTAGGCCGAAACGTCGAAATAAACCACGTTGTGACCGCTCACGGAGGATCTACTGAACTATATATATATATATATATATATATATATATATATATATATATATATATATATATATATATATATATATATATATATATGTGTGTGTGTGTGTGTGTGTGTGTGTGTGTGTGTGTGTGTGTGTGTGTGTGTGTGTGTGTGTGTGTGTGTGTGTGTGTGTGTGTGTGACGTACGAAGGCAGGGATGGTTAGGAGAACTAGATGAGGAAGGAAGAAGTGCTTATGGAATAAACATGGCGTATGAGCCAGGCCACGTCTTCCATTCATCATAGCGTCACACGAGTCGACAGGATGGAGACCTGCCTACCCCTTCATCAGTCGCTCATCATCGACGCAGTTCCCCACAAGACGCTCTGACCAGCACCATCACAGATTCATCGGCCGATCTTGACATCCCCAAGTACACCGGAGCAGCGGACGATGGACCCGTGCAGGAGTGGTTCTACCTGTACGAGCTCCACGCTACCGCTGCATCATGGTCGGAAAGGGAGATGATCATCAACTTTACCGACTACATCTCCGGTGAGGCTTTCAAATTTTACCTCACTCACATTTCAAAATGACGAGTCATGGAAAAAGATTAAAGAAGAAATGACCATCCGATTTCAAGAATACTCGCTTATAACCAACCATCTACAGGCAATCGCACTCGGTTGTCAATTTCACAAGCAGTCTTCAAGCTTGCGAACGCCCAGCATGAATCGACCACTGCCACAACACAAAGTGGAACATAAGTACACTGACAGGCGACCTAGCGTATTTCGGGAAAACCACACACAACCATCGCGCGGGCCTCCGTTTTACACACAAGACGGCACTTCCAAAATCATCGCTTCAGCATATGACACAAGACGTTGCTCCACCACTTGATGCTCCCTATTCTTCGTCTCGCATATATGGCCCGCCAACCGCTTTTACATCACGTGACTCCTCAGGTGCTCGTAACGCTAACCGTCTGCCTCGTAAGGACACCGTGTTCACAATAGGTGAACCATCGACGCATCGGGAAAATACCCAACCACGCCATGACACTCGAAAAAGTGTTTTTCATCACAAAACTTTATTTCTATGGCTCAGCAGGCTGTGCAGTCCGAACCTAATAATGCCACGTCACCTATGGTATCCCCATCTAGTGCTCACAGCTCCAAGAACCGAAACAATCCAGAAGTAATACATACATCAAACCTCACACGCAGCTGTCTGCCAGAGGCGTTCATACTGGACCACTTCACCGAAGCTTTTGAAGAGCATGCTAGCAATGATGGCGCATTACCAACTATGCCCGATAAGCAAGATACCAGCTCACCATGCATCAGCTGTCTACAGGACGCATCAAACCTCGAAGGAAATGAATGCCCAATCCCAGAAGGGGCGCCACTACAGCCATCTCCTGAGCAGCACCAGCAAAGCAAGCAAAGCCAAGTACACTAACTCAGGAGACAACGAAAGAGACTCGAACGAGGGCATCGAAGAACGCAAAATTCAATGGAAGTGCACTCACCAATTGAAGAACATCGGAAAATAAGATCTCGAAACCAAAGACAAATTCAAGACGTCAGACACTTTCGCACAAAGAAAAGTGACCAAAGACACTCCCTGCCTCAGCTATTACACCGACTGCACCACCACAGAAAACGCCGAGAAAGACGCGGAAACACTGCTTGCACACCGCAAGCACTCAGGCACTTCGTCACAGTCTGTCAAAAAGCACGAAAGCAAGAAGCACTGGGATGGCACCATTCACGACGAAAAATACAACCCCGACGACATCCGAACTTCAAATGCTACAGGCACTCCCAACCTTGTCCGTTCCTCACAAAAACTCAACCGATGTCATCACCAGCTCAGATTTCCAGGGTGTGGTTATGCCATCCAGGGCGCAACAGTCAAGCTCGTCCACCAGAGTCGTCATAGAAATCACCGGACTGCTCCCTCAGCTTTGAAGATTCAGTGAGATTGTGAAACTCCATCGTGACGTGAAACTGTGAACTTGGCCATTCTTTTGTTTATTCTCTTCTTCAATTTGTTGTAGTTTGTAACCGGTGTCATCTTTCGGTGGGAGGGGGAATCCTGTGACGTAAGAAGGCAGGGATGGTTAGGAGAAGTAGATGAGGAAGAAGTGCTTATGGGATAAACATGGCGTATGAGCCAGGCCACGTCTCCCATTCATCATGGCGTCACACACACACACACACACACAAACTTAATTTTTATGATATTTACAGATCTTCATGATCTGTAAATATCAAAATTAAGTTGTTGTTTTTAATGATATGTTCGTTTTGAAACGTTAAAGCCCACATATCTATCTATCAAAATAAACTGTTTTCCTTCCTTCCTTATATATGGCACAGTGTGTACCCAGCAAGTGTACTTGCAGCAGCTGCCCAAAGAGTGATTAGAGAAGCCTCCGTGAGGCCGCTCTTCCAGCTTTCGCTGTGACAGTGCTGCGCATTCAGCGCAAGCCTGGCGTCTTAAATGCGAAGCATTTTTAGCAAACTTCGGTGACTTTGAGCGCATCTATCTCTATATCTAGCCGTCTACGACTTTTAGCTCTCCTGGCCATTTGGATAATGGTATCGATACCAAAAATGGTGTGGCATAACATGACTGTATGGCGAGCGTAAGTGACTAGTCAAAACGGGAGGACAGCGGGGCAAGCCTAACGCCTGACCTGTACTGTGAGGCTCGACTGTGAAGAAGCTGCCCGGGCTCAGGATCGGGTGGCAGTATCCTTAGTGTTCTTTGAGAGTTCGTTATTTTCCGGTAACTGTATCGGTCTTTCTCAGCTGAAGCAAGTCATTCGATCTTGATGTCATTTTCTTCCCCCGGCCAAGGGCACTCCTCTTGGTTAGCTTCCACTCCCGCCAAGGATTGGCCGATAGACTATTTGTTACGCAGCGGTGCTAGAAGTGTCCCTGTGGCGCTGGTACCTACAGATGGGGGCAGTATTCCGATGAAGAAACCAAAGGCGATTCAAGTGGAGCTTTGAAAAACCACTTCGCATTTCCAGGAGATCACTGAGGTCTGCCAGTTTGGTCGCGGAGACATCCTGTGCTGTTCCGCAGATCAGGAATGCATTTGTGAGCTCCTGCAATGTTCCGAATTCGCAGCGCATCCGGTAAGCCCATTTATTCCGGCACACGTCGCATGCTCGAAAGGATTAGTCCGCTGCGTAGACACAAGCCTGACACCTGCAGAAGTGCTCGATTTGTTTTCGGTGGCGGGTGTAATTTCAGTGTACAGGTGCACCCGTACAATTGCCAACATAAAATCCCCAACGGAATCGGTGATAGTGACCTTTTTAGGAACAGTCCGACCTTCCGAAATTAAGGCATAGCCACTGATCTATAAGGTAGAGCCACTTTTCCCCAAACCCCTGCAGTGTTTGAAATGTTGGCAATATGGACATAGCGTCAGAGGGTGCCGATAAGTTCTTACATGCCGTCGGCGTGGTGAAAATCATGACAGCCGCAAGTGCAGCTCTGAGAAAAAGAGGTGCTGCTTATGTAATGGGGCGCACCCTGCAGACTCCGCAGACTGCGCAGCAAAAGAAAGCGAGCTTGCCATATTGGATATTGTAGAACGCAAGCGGTGCTCTCGGAGAGAAGCCGTTGCAGAAATGCACGAGAGATTCAAAGGATATGCAGGTGTTGCAGCACGTAATACCACCGCCATGGATGCATCTCTCGCAACATCTATCGTAGAGGCCATA